CCTTTCTACACCCTCGATTTAAGTGCACCCCAATTCTCACGTATTGCAAATATTGATAAGAATAAAGTGCTAATTATCTCGTGCTAATTCCGTAATACCTCCAAAGGTGTTTGAATTTCGACGTGTGCCATATTTTGAGCCGATAAGACCGACTTTAGCCAAATAATTCTGCAAAAAACGCTCCAGAATTAAAGCGCCATACAAACTGAACGATAAGAGTTCTTCGCTTTTTCGCTTTCCTTATTTTTATTTTTTCCCCTCATTTTACTTTCTTTATATTTTAAGATCTCGCAATAATGCGGTTATCGCCTACATTGCAATTACGCTGCATATCGTAAAATACATATGCACACATACAAACAAATCAATGGTCACGCGTATAAACTTGCCAATTCACTCGGACTCAACGTTCATTCATAAAAAAAATTGATTTCAATACGCACAGCACCGGCACACACTTTGCACATARCTTTCTCATACTCAAATATTCGTGAATGATGTGATGTAGGCATCCAGTGGATACCTTCAGAACTTCACATTACGGTTCTCGAAAATTATTTTGCGGCGTTTTTTGCTGYTTTYGTCGCTAATGAYCTCTTCTTTGCATGCCCCACCAACCAAACGCATCTGACACCCCTCCCCCTTTGGTCCGACCCCGTCGAAAYGGCACATTTCTTGGGCCTTCTGTTGGATAACACCGACGACAACTTGGCTAAACCTAGCCATCCTAACGGAGACKAGGTACCCGCTAAAACAACAMCYACAACGACAACAGWRGTATTGACAAGAAGTCCTAGACAGCAGGTTTCAATTTTTAATCAACCTCCCTAAGTAAAAACTCTACACTAACTGCTACTTGTCGCATTCTACACTTGCCACTGCAAGCTCAAGAAGCACTTATATAACATGAACCCAGCTTCTTGTGCAAATTGCTGGTTCTGSTACCGGGAACCTGAAATTCCAGAACACCYGCCAACTGRCTGCAAACCAGTCTGCAGAYACAGRRYAAAGRCCCTTGGATCAAGGCTTCCAAATAKRGATCACAACGCCTCACCAGCACCTAGCARTAYATTGAAATTTATCAATATGCTGGGGCTAGGTGGGTCGTTGTGGGTTAGGGGAGGACATAATAGACTTTAGGTYGCGGTGCAAWGATATAATTCACAAACACGCCTTTTGAACGTTAGGTCTCACTAAACTAAAAAATATATATATATAACGTAAGTTATGAAAAAAAAACTATTAACTTCTTTCAAAAAATATTAATATAGTCGTAGTACTATGATTAATTTATTTATGATGTGAGCCATTAGGTTAGTATATTCTAAAATTCCTTATATTACAGAAAGATTTCAAAAACAACTGCAACAAAAAAAAAATATTGTATGTATGCATAATAGAAATATAATTGACCAATTTTGTTCTTTATTAGAACCAAATAAATTCAATGCCAAGAAAATACTTAAAGCGGAAATCTATTTGTGCAAATCAGCTAAAACTAAATTAATACTGAAATCTGCCACAATTGGAATTTCCAAAAGAAAAAAAAACACAAAACAAAAATAAATAAAAAKAAATACAAAAAATACGAAAATATAAGACCAAATAAAAGTTGGCAAGCAAATAAATTTCAAAACCATAAAATCAACACCCACAATTAGTGAGAGTGCACCGAGCAAATCGATGCATTGAGCACCGAAAGAAAACATTAGTCATCGACTCATCGAAAATACTTATGTATATGCCGTTGTGAGATCTATCTGCGTATATGTATGTATATATATAAATAAGCACGTGAATGACATAACTGAAACAATTGACATTAGCGGAAGAGCAAATGCGAACACAAATATACTAAAAGTGAAAAAGGTAAGCGAATTTCACATAAATATTATATATTTCCTATAAATGTTATCTAGGGTACCAGCAAGCCTCCAAATATGTTTTTAGCCATATAATTTCCCTAAGTCTATCAGCTAACAGGTTAAGGTTAGGATTTGTTATCTAACTAGATCTAATGGGAGATACGATAGCATTGGACCAAATATTATATAAAGAATGCTATAGGAAAAATTTGTACAGGTTTCTATCTATTATAGCATAATATTAGAGGTTGTCCGATGTGCTTCCATTCGGTCGATATAACCTAGCYAGCTTAGCCGTTGAATGTAAATTCCCTAAACTATGTCTGTGTCGTCATATATCTCCTACACTCTCCGTTGCAAATGCTCAAAGGACCTTAAATCTTCCGCGAGACCTCATGAATTCYATCTACTCATTAGTTGATGTCTATGCCCGTGCAAATCAGTATTTAGTCTACGTTCGTCGATTGCTTACTCAGTCCGAAGTAGCACCTGTTGGCAAGAGTTATTCTGCGTTGGATTTCGAAGCTGATATTGTAGTTGGTGTTAATACGGGTAGCAAGACAGGCGTTATTATCTACGGCTTCGAAGTTATGACCGTCRACAGTGACGAGGGAGCCAAGTTTCGTCWGTTTGTTTGATGATAGGAGCTACTTTTTCTTGTCCTCGTTCACTACCAGACCCATTTGCTTCACTTTTTTRTCCAATCTGGAGAAAGCAAAACCATACGAAATATAAAATTAAGTGATTTAAATTCTGTCGAACAACCAAGATATTAAATATGTTGCTACTTGAACTATGTAAATAAAATTTCGTACATTTTCAGAGATTTTTTCTCTTTACTACAGTTCCTTTATTATGTGTTATTCAATAACATTAAAAYTCAAACTGATGAAAGCTTTTGTGTTTTCATTTTCACAGCAATATRTGGCAATAATTTTCGAACCAAATTGACAGCCTATTAAATTATTCACTCAATGTGGTGTAAAATTTCAACACAATCGGCAAGTTGACAGTTTATTGCCCCTTTAGTAATTGAATTTGGCATAATGAAAATCACACATTAGTGTCAGAGTGTTTCACCTACATATACGAAATATTCCTTATATGTACCCTGTGATATGAGCACAATATTTTAAGAGGCGATTCTGCTAAAAGTTCATAAAAATTAATGTTCAATTARTTAACTTTCGTAATAAAAGTTATGCGAATAATGTTTCAATTCCATCAAATGGTTTCTTGAATCTTTTTTTGCTTTTTATTTGTTTACTTGATCAGATTTTGAACACACAGCTGAGCTCATGATCGTGCTTAAGATTATTCCGCAATATCATCTGTGTAATTGGAAACAAGAATTAAAAGTCCACAAAACTTTCTATAAACATACATATGTACACATTTTGTATGAAAGAGTACATTTCGAAAGAAACAGACATAGAAAAAATAAAATGCAAATTATTTTTGGCTCTACTTTCTTACCTTAAAAAGTACTTCGAAAAAGGTTTTGCTTATTCCAAATACCTTTCAAAGCACTTTCTCATCCCCTGCAAAYGTTCTCAATTATTTACATATTGTTGTAAATAAAATCTGCTGCTAATTAAATGCGACTAATTTTCAATTGAAAAACTAATTTTGACGCTAAAATTCGCTAAATCAYGCCAAGCAACACACACAAGTGGCATACAGCCTCATGACCGGAAATAGTGTAATTGAAATATCACACATGAGCAGAACTAAAACTTTTTACAAATGTCAATCGAACAACGCAAATATATGCCGAACAAAGTCAAAGTGATCAGCATACGTCATATASATACATACATACGTTAATGGGTGYCTMTTCGGTGCGTTGATATCWTCSTCTAAGAAGGCGTGCGAAAATTWCTACATATATACATACATATACACGAATGTACTTATGAATGAAACATAATTGAATTTTGAGTGCGTAAAAGATTTTTAAGTTATTTCGGATCTTTTTTCATAAAATGTCTTTTGGAAGGAAACGTATATAATGTATGTATGTATATGGGTATATAATATATAGTAAGTATACWAGTATGGGCGAAAAATAGTAAGACTTTGTTCATAATATTAAATTTCTTAATTGTCGTGCTGAGCGTATTGTGTGAAAGATTAAAGCCCACCGTCAACAAACTAACTGGACCTTATCAGTGTGGCTTCAGACCTGRAAAATCAACAACCGACCAGATATTCACCATGCGCCAAATTTTGGAAAGGACCCGTGAGAGGGGAATCGACACACACCACGTTTTCATCGATTTCAAAGCTGCTTTCGATAGCACGAAAAGGAGCTGCCTTTAATGCCGCGATGTCTGAATTTGGTATCCCCGCAAAACTAATACGGCTGTATAAACTGACGTTGAGCAACACCAAAAGCTCCGTCAGAATCGGGAAGGACCTCTCCGAGCCGTTCGATACCAAACGAGGTTTCAGAGAAGGCGACTCCCTATCGTGCGACTTCTTCAATCTGCTTCTGGAGAAAATATTTCGAGCTGCAGAACTTAATCGAGCATACTGATATCATCGGCCTCAACTCCCGCCCCGTTAGTTCTGCTTTCTCCAGACTGGACAAGGAAGCAAAGCAGATGGGTCTGGCAGTGAACGAGGGCAAGACGAAATATCTCCTGTCATCAAACAAACAGTCGTTGCMCTCGCGACTTGGCTCTCAAGTCACTGTTGACAGTCATAACTTTGAAGTCGTAGATAATTTCGTCTATCTTGGAACCAGCGTAAACACCACCAACAATGGCCACGCAGGATAACTCGTGCCAATAGGTGCCAATTCGGACTGAGTAGGCAATTGAGAAGCAAAGTCCTCTCTCGACGAACAAAAACCAAACTCTATAAGTCACTCATAATTCCCGTCCTGCTATATGGTGCAGAGGCTTGGACGATGTCAACAACGGACGAGTCGACGTTGCGAATTTTCGAGTGAAAAGTTCTGCGAAAGATTTTTGGTCCTTTACGCGTTGGCCACGGCGAATATCGCATTCGATGGAACGATGAGCTGTACGAGGTATATGACGACATTGACATAGTTTATCGAATTAAAATATAGCGCCTACGCTGGCTAGGTCATCTTGTCCGAATGCACGAAAACACTCCAACTCTGAAAGTATTCGACGCAGTAGCCGCCCGTGGAAGCACAGGAAGACGAAGACCTCCACTCCGTTGGAAGGACCAGGTGGAGAAAGATCTGGCTACGCTCAGCATATCCAATTGGCGCCACGTAGCGAAAAAAAGAAACGACTGGCGCGCTGTTGTTAACTCGGCTATAATCGCGTAAGCGGTGTCTACGCCAATTAAGAAGAAGAAGAATTGTCGTTACCCTGTGCTAATCCCCCTTRGTCCAAATACACTYGTGATAAMGTTTTTCCACTCCACGAAACTGTTGTTTAAGTCAATTTCCGGAAAAGCCTTCAATGCGTATACTTAGCTGTTCAGGCGATTACGGTGATTGCGAAACGATATTGGATGAAAATTCAAAGAGCAATCAATGCAGTATATGACGGTTCATTATCGTAGTATAAAAATCAAAACTTTTCGCAACATRGAACATCGATAATCGAAGAAAACTGTCAACAACGYCTTTATTTTTGACCTGCTGTGACGTGGTGTTTTGACTTCGTCTCCTTTGCCACGAAATGCGACCGATTAATCRTCYGTTTTCGGGTCGTAAGCATAGACCCTAGACTCATCGCCAGTAATAACACATTTCATGATATCCTAGTAGYCGAAAAGTATTGTTTCACAGACGTTAAAAAATTAAATGATTTTGGAACGTCGGTCTCACCCACTTTTTGGGCCCAAATTAACGTTCAAAATGGTTTTCACTGATCCTTCCGWTATTCCAACGATGACAGTAAGATTTCTGTTTATTGTCGATTCTTAAGCGACAATTCCTTTTACTGACATGTTGATCATTAGTTGATGTTGATGGCCGCCCTTGGTGTGTTATTAGTTTTATCAGTTTGTACGTTAGATGAAAGTTATTTTCTAATTGTTAGAAAAAACAGCGAATTTTGTTTGATGTTTCTTATTTCGACCAAATTCAGTACGGCGCTAACCCTTTCAGCAGTGCTCGTTGTACTGTTTTGCTAAAAATTTATACTTCTGCGTCTKTTAGGTACTTCTTCCTTACTGGCGTATAGCCCCTCTTTCAGGTTGGCAAAGTTTGAAACATTTGTCGAACACTTCACCAAACTATCATGGCCAAACTTAGATCTACATCTCTGAAGTTAATTTTTCCCATCGATTCCAACAAATTGTATTTAAGCTGGGAAATAACTGCCGCTAAAGAATTTTAATAATGTAACTTACTTATTCTTATTATGTTTTCGTCCATTGACTTAATCAAAGGAGTGACATTCGGTGACAAAACATCGTTGTAACTGAGTCATCATCATTTATTCATGATGGTTTAGATACAAAGATGCTTCATCAAGAAGTAAATTATTTTGAGGAAATACGATCTCTTTTAAATAGAATTTTACCAAGTTAAAGAATAGATTTGTTAGAAGATATTCAGTTTGTAATGTAATGTGACAAAAGAATTTCCGGAAATTGTAAATAAAACGCAAACTATTGAATTATTTATCCATATTTATTTGTCGCCCTCAAAGTAATCCCCACCAGAAGTAATCCACATATGCCAAAGATTTTTCAGTCTTTGAAACACTTTTCATAAGCATTTTTGTGGATGGCCAACTCATTCAGCGAATTTTATTTTATCTCTTCGATCGACTGAAAACGGGTTTCGCGGTGATTTCATCGCATCACTCGATGCGATAGTCCATAGTCATTGTGCAAAATCCGGCCAAATAAAACTCCTTAAAATAGTTTGTTCCTCAGGAACAAATTCATGATGCACCAAACCACAAATATCGAAAAAACAATAAGCATCCTCTTGACTTTGAGCGGCTT